AGTGAGCAGCAATAAAAATTGAGCAGAATAATATAAATACATTTTACTTCATTACATTCTGATCAGCTGATTATAACCTATAATATTTTAAAATCAGAACTATCGTAAAGTTAACATAATTTATAAAGTGTAAATTAGTTAAATGTGATGAATATGTAGCATCATGGTGTGGTTGCGATTCGTATAAATGTAAAAAGACCTAAGATTTTGTGGAATATGATCTTGTAAACAAATACAAGCCCTTCTTTCTGTTCTACCAATTTTAGTGTTTTGGAAGATACATGTAAATTTATATACGCAGTTGGAGGTAACATGAAAGAGTCACCGATGGATCTTAAATTCCTGTAAAGGACATTTTGTTTTGTCCAAGATCAGCTTGGATGGAGGATAAGTTATGGACAGTGTGGTTTTTAATCTTCTGTTTATTATCACTGCAACTTCGTCACCTTTGAATTTAAGTTAAATAAAAATAGGATTTTTTGTCTTTTGTGGTTTCTTTAGTCATTTTATTCTCACTTTTCCATAGTTATTAATAAACTTCTGTGGATACCTATTGTTCCTCATACATTTTTTTTTAGGGTCGACTAGTTCTGCTTCCAATTTATTGACAGTATATATCATTTCAGTTCTGTCGAATAACGTTTTATTAAGTGGCCTCTTGTAGTTAATTAGACAAAGCCGTTAAAATTTGAACAAACACCATTCCATATATCTTTTTGACAAAATAAGCGTTGGATTGTACCATCCTCAATCCATTATATGGCTATATCGAGAAAGTTGAAATTCTTATTATTTTGATTTCTTATTGTCAACTGGATATTTTTATGATCGTCTATGAAAAGATTTATTGTTGATCATTACATATAATCCGCATGGGGTGTTTATATGACAAATTTCAGTCAAAATATCAACAACCGGATGATCCGATCCATTTCGAATTGAATTCTAACATCGATTTTTTGAAATCTATCCCAAAAATGACAAAGTTTAATCTAAAAACTAAAAAAAAAAACGAAGTGTCGTGACTTAATTGCCTAAATAATTTAAAGTCTCAGTAATGAGGTAAACAATAAAACAACATAAATAACAAGTTTATGAAAATTCTAATATTGACATTTGTTTAAATAAAGAAGGAACGAATCGAGCAAGTTTATGAAATCATAATTATCCTTTTCTGATCGACAAACATAAACTGAGTTAAAAGTAATAAAATTTTCCCTAAAAGCTATTTAAAAACAACAGTTTTCTAGTTTTAATTATATAACCAAAAGATGTTGGATGCCGAAATAAGTTGCGGTAAATATTAATCTTTTATAGTTAAGTTCTAGTAGATACGAAGTCATAACAACACGATTTAGTCATCATTGCAATATTTGTTGTTTGAAGTAAGTAGAATTGTAACTAAGTTGCTTTCATTTCCTTAAATATAGGACCCCTGTTTCATCCTTTTTCAGACTAGCCAGTTGTATTTGTTTTTCAGTGAACCCTGTTGTTTCATCTTATGCCTGAACCCAGCATTTATTGCATCAAATTAAAATTACATGATAAAAAACATTTTACATTGTAGTTGAGTCTTATAAGTAAGTATTTGTAACCACACAATATAGTACATATTAATACGCGATTAAAAGTGGTTATTCCATTGAACAGAGTACTTTGACTACCTTACTGATAAACTGACTCCTGTTCATTGGGTTAATTTTATACTGACTATGTAATAAGCAAACCCAGTTTAAGGATATTTTTACTGCCGTAACGAAAGTTTATACCTTAAACACACGAAAAATTATTATTTCCACAGGACTTCAATCCCATAAATAAATTTAACAAGCCCACTTTTAAATTTTATAGTTAACATAACGGAATTTTCATAGTAAAACAAATATTGAAAACCAGTGAGCGGTGGACATTTTTTCATCCAAGTTTGAGGCTCATCAGCATTGCTCATCCGTGGTCCTAACGAATATCAAACTCCAGAACCTTTAGGTCGCTTGGCAAGCGCTCAAATGTTAGACCACAAAACTAACTTTCAGTGGTTTAATTGCTTAACTTCAGTTAACTTGTGATATCGTACAAATTTATTTCAATGTCATTAGTGTATAATTACATCACACTCAACATGGTCGGATTCCACTGGTTGTAGATTCTCATCAAAAGACTTTTAAGCATTGACTGTTTTGGTTAATCTCCGATTAATGATAAGTTCCACTCAAGTGTTCTTATATATATATTATCCAGATGACTGCATACTTACCCACTGTAAATAATCTAAGATGAAAATAGGCTATTAGATCAATTCTCTCTTAATCAGCATCACGAAACGATTACCTAACTGAGATTAATGGTATTTTATTGACTTAAATATGAATGCTAAGCTTTTTAAGTATTATTTACATAAGAATTAATTCTTAAAAAGCGAGAGGTTGAAATTATTCTTAAACATCACTTGTACAATTATTTACGTGTAGTCATTCCAGTCACCATTTAGTATGAAACAATTGAGAGAAGTACATTTTTAATTCATTTACATAATGTTATTGATAATAAAAGCATGAATAAGAATGAGAAAACCTGTGAATGATCCGGTTGATTTGACAAAACTTAGCTAACTAACACAGAAATAGGTGGCAAACTGTACACTAAAATACAATGCTCATATATAACTCCCGAAATTGTTCCTGTTCTAAAGCCTAGTCACGGACATTAAGGAAATACAAATATTTGAATAATCCAAAAAGGACCAATGAAAGTCTATTCGTTTACTGTACATCACTGAAGGAAATCTATCACAAAACAAACTAATGTGATATATCAGTATGGAGCCTTCGAGATTGTTTAATTCTATTGAGATCACGAAACGATCTAAGCTAAACAACCACTGAAACCTAAAACGCACTAGGTGGCCGTTTCTTATTGGTATGGGACTCTTCAATGGGGTGGCATCCACATCCCAGTCACTAGAGACCGAACTCAAATTCGGTCTCGCGAGTGGACACTTAAATTCTAGAACACTGAACTGGGATTCATTTATGCACAATATGAATTATGCTTGATATAACCTTCATCACTGGCTGATGATCAGTTGGAGAATGATCGAAATTAGGGAAGCATTATTCGATAACAGTGCCATCGTAGTTTGAGTTCTTATCAATGTGAGAACTTATGTACATACGCAGAATCGAACCGAAGACCTTTAGATGTCATAATCAACACATCTTTAAACAAATGAGTTGGAACTTTATGTTTCGTAATTTAATTTTTAATTAATCAGTAGTTCAGAATCACTCAAATTCGGTGTTACAAACGAGCTACCCTCCCGATTCCGACTTGACAGACATTAAAGTTTAGGCCGTATGTAAATCCATTTTGAAGTCATTTATTAGTAAATATATGATTCATATCAATATCGACGGTTTCCTCTGAAATTTCGATATAATTTGAAGGTGCTTAAAATATTATTTTTAGTTACTGCATACTAGGATTTTTAAACACTAGACAAAGTGATCACTAATTTTTTGTAACAAGAATCATGTTACTGATAATCTCAACCAAATCCATCAGTAGTACATGACTGAATCGTAAATGGCTAGTATTCAAAATTTATCAGCCTAATTTAACTCTGTTGTTATCTTAAAAACGATACGTTTCTTCCTTTTGTTTGTTAATCTCTTGATCGGTCTGTCAATTACAGCCGATGCATCGAGTTCGTTCATTAACTAATTCCCTTATTGTCTATAGATGAAAGTAAAATATGATTGAACGTTGAACATGAACAAACAGGCAGTTAGCCTACTGACTATTAAAGATCTAATTTCCTTTCTTGTTATTGATTTCTATTCCGGACACACTAAGAGTGACTGCTTGTAACTGTGTTGAACAAAGTATTATCTAGTGTTAATCCGGTTTTCTATTCTGAATCGTGAATCCTGGATCTAATATAACATGACGGTGAGACTATAATATATGGACGACCTTGGAGCGACTCTAAGGTGACCTACAGAGTGTCTACCTAATAACTAGGACCAAATGAGCGTTATAAACCAGTGTGAGGAATTCGAATTATGATCTACATTTGATGGTTAAAATTAGGAATTAGATTTAGGGTTTTCATCACTAACTGAGGTTGACACTAATTACACGGCGGTTGTGATTCAACATGAATGACTAACTCATAAGTGGCACAGAATCGGAAGGGAACAATTAATCCGTGCTAATCCCGGAAGTATAAAGTATATAGCAACAGTTTGTGCGTCAGACATGAGTTTAAAATTTAGGTTAAAATAAAAATACAATCCCATTACTTAATAATTATGAAATAAAAATACAAATAATGATTTCCCATAGGATTTCAATATCAATGTTTGACTAGATAGCTACAAATAAATTGAGCATTGGATAGAAGGATAATAATAAGTAGTTTTTATTGGTGATATCCCAATTAGTAGACATTTGTGCTTCTGACGTTTTGTGAATGCTATTTAGAGTTGTGTTAGTTTTGTTTTAGCTATTTACTTATTTACCCAAATGAAGTGACTTACATTAAGTCACGAAACGTCAGAAATACAAATTTCTACTCATTAGGATATCACAAAAGGTACATTTAATTATTATATCTCTAGGATAGATCTGAATATTCAATTTAAAATCCTCTTCGAAATAAAAAAAACAACCATTATCTTAAATAATTAACAGCATCTACTTTTTGATAGAAGCAAAATTGCATCTAAACGATAGGGATTCGAACTTTGACCAGTAAATTATGAGTTTGAACCAGCTTCAAACTGAAAAACTTTGACTTATAACCTTGTACATATATTTGTATGCCTGTTTTATATATTTAAATATGAGGAAAGTCCCTATTTTTGATTAACTTCTCATCTAATATACAAATGAACAAATACATTGAAAAAGAAACATCTTTTATAAACACTAACTTATTTATTTTACAATCCTTTCCGTATAACTAATTGGTCAACTAATAAACTATTATTCATTTATAGGCTATGAATTTATTAAATAACTTAGGAAAATGTAAATATGAAAGAAGTCATCCTTATCTTGCTCATCATGAGCATCAACCTATCGATGTTCAAAATGAAAATAATAAAATGACAACAAGTCCTTTAGAACAGTGGATTTGGGAAAATGGATGTAAAACTTTACAAAATTTTCATCTTAAATCTGATATTCTCAGTTTTAAATCATCATCAATTCATTCAAAATGTCCAACACTTGAACTTGATTTAAATTTGGCTAAACATTTAACAGAAGTTGATTTACTTTCTCAAGTAAGTACATTTATAGTATTGTGAATAAGATATTCATTTGTATATATTTTATAAGTTATGATATCAAGACTATAATTTATGGACGAACTAACCAGGTATAAGATAACAGATTTTAGATTTTGACGCAAAATTCACTCAACCATTTGGCTAAATAGAGTCTTGGCATTATAATTGATGTCAATTCGTGATGAAAACCCTAAATCTAATTCTCAACCTTAACCATCAACTGTAAATCATAATTCGAATTCCTCACACTAATTTCTAACTCTCATTTGGTCCTAGTTATCAGGTGGACACTCTCAAGGTCAGTGTAACGTTGCTTAATGGTCATCCATAAATTATAGTTTCACCGTTATGATTTCCTTAAAATTTATGTTCATATTTGCTAACTTTTTTTGTATTCTTTAATTATTGAATAAGTATTTTTACAAAGTAAGTTACATGTTCCTTTCGATGTAGTGGATACTAATTCATTATTCTAAAGATAATGAGTTTGACATGAGATTTGGAGGTCCTTTTTTCGAACCCTGATAAAAACATTTACGTAATTTATGATGATACGACTGTTCAGTGCTCAATAGTCTTCAAAATTTTCTACTGGTTGTAACTGATGTATGCTGAAAATCAACTCGAAAAGGGTTTTTTTAATTTAGGAGTGATGTTGCAACTGATCCCATTATCAAACAAATTCTTTGTCATATCTGTAAACAAATTACTTCCCCATTTCATTAAGCGTTGACTTGGTAGTTTAAATTTTAGGGTATGATATCCGTTCGGTTTGGGAACAGGATGAATGCTAGTCCGCATGCACTAAATGCATAACTCGGAGATGAGGACTGAAACTTCTGTGTAAATGAGTTTCTATACATTTAGTATTCTGTAGGTTCCCAAATTTTATCTCCAGATTGTTATGCCGAATGATCGCTCGAAGTTGATGCTGATTTGCACGCTTCCTATAGCCAAAACTAGCCCAATAATTAGGTGCGGAGACTACGGTTGAATGGATATCTGTATTGCCAGATCGAGTATAAATACACGTACAAACTCATTGGCTTATCTATATCACTCATATAGTTGAGGCAAATTTCGACCAATACAGTTCATCCATCGACATACCTCACCTATTATTAGCTTTAATCCAACGTATGCACGTAGGCATATGATGTTTCTGGATTGCCCCATTTTATATCTTTGAATTACATGGCTTCGTTCAATAGGATTTTTTCTACTAATTTATATGAGTAGTTCTCAACATGACAGTAATATGTTCTAATTTCGACAGTGTTAAGATTTCTGCGCTAAATGATTAATTTGAGGAGCTTCATCTTCTTTAGAGAACGCATTATGCGCTCCTGAATTAATTAGGCGCTTAAGAAAATGAGCTATAGATCTCCTTTATTTAAATCCACTTGTTACTAAATGAATTAAATGAGCCCATTACTGACTCTCAGCCATTGATTTTAGTTATGGTACAACGTGATACTGATTTCCATCAAGCATATTAGTGAATAGTTCTTTGAGAAGAGTTCTACAATCATTCTAGATACTTATATTTTACATTGAAATTGTTTCAAATTATAACGTTGCCTTTCATCATAGATAATGACAAATTTAAAGTAGTTCATGAAACCAATGGCCCTCCTCTTAACCATTTACCTTTTTCAAATCTAATTTAAGATGATGGAACAATGTATCATTTCTATTAACATCGTTTTTTTCTCCACCCCGTTTTTTTTCTCTCTCTCTCTTCTTTTATATAAACACCAAACAATCCTATTCTAGGCAAATGTATTACAACAAATGATACATGTATATTCATATGAAATGTTAACAAATCAATTAGCACAAAATTTATTACGTATACATGGAATATGGTTTGAATTATACTCAGGTAGAGTACTAATATATAGTCGTTTAAATAAAGCATTTCTACCTATTACTGAAGAGACAATTACTTCACTACTTCATGAATTATAATGTAATTTCTTTATACAATCAATTTAATTTTTATTTATTTCATTATGATTGCTTCTTTATTCTTTCTTATCTATCTCTTAAGAGATTTTTATACGATTGTATTTATCAAGATACCTCTTTGTTGTTGTTGTTGTTGTCGTCGTCGTTGAAAGATTAATTCATTTTTCCATTCATTTGCTTATTAAAAAGAAGAATATATTTGCAAAATCTCAGCGAATGAATTTTAAGTAAATCCAACGTTTCGCCTGGCAATCTGGTTCAAGCTTTTTCAACTAAAATATTTACTTAAAATTCATTCGCTGAGATTTTACAAATATATTCTTCTTTTTAATGTCTCAAATTAACTCGGCGCCCAAATATTGTGAAACTATTCGTTCAAATTTAGACGAAAGTTCTTATTTGCTTATTATTCAATCAAATATTTTGTTCTTCTAATTATTATTCATTTGGATGTATGTATATTTTCAACTTGGCATAGAATATCATTTTCAAAGATACTTATGGTATATCTAGTCTATTATTTCTAAATGTATATTGAAATTTTGAAATATAACCAATGGTGATGAATCAGCTAACTCAGGGTATAGAATATTTTATTGATATATTTTTATTTTATTTCTCGGAACAATCTTCATGATTGAATGAAATTGAATCTCTATGTGAATTGACAATATTTAGATCATACAAATGGATATGACAACAAACTATTAGAAATAATGCATTTCAGGTCATCACTCCGTTTTAAGAAAATTTATTTTCCCTATTTGAATTGATTAAATGGAAGTTTACATGTTTATCTTCAATTCAATTATTTCAAATAGTGTTTTTTAATTAATGAATAATGTTTTATTGAAAGACTATTTAAAACACAATTATATGAATGAAGAATATGCTTTTCAATCTTTTCTCATCAAGTTCTCCAATGATCTCATATCCAAATTAATAAACCATAAAATTGGTCAGATTTAAAGCAGAGTACATGATTTGGAAATGATGTTATATATGAATCAAGGATTGTTTATCAAACTAATTCGTCAATATTAGAGTTGACTTATATGAAGTGTTAACTTGAATCATTTTATAAGTGAAATGAAATTGATGTTAGATCACCAGGTTTTCAATGGTGATCTCAATCAAAAATTTAATCATCTTCACAACTATATACTGATATACAGATAAATAATGATCAGAATAAATATGGTCACCATGGGGTGGTCGAGAGAGAGAATAATGTAATTACAAATCAGGAATTACATAATATGTAGAATAATATGAATTAGGTCAGATACAGTAGGTAGGGGTGGATGCTGAATAAAGTACTTAAAAAGGTTATCAGGTGTAATAATAATAAGGAGTATTTAGGTGATTTTTCAAATTCTTATGTGATAGTCTTTTTTTTCTTAGTTTTCTTCAAAATAATAAAATGATAACAGTGTAATAGATTCGATAAGGGAAAAGATTCTTTCTTTCACTATCAAGGTAGTAATAATAATAATGATCCTTCAATATGCTGTGCAAAACATTTATATTTATCTATGATTAATTGTTGTTCATTTGTATTTGAAATGTATATTGTAAATTAATTTGTTACAATGAATTGGAATTGTTTAATTTATTTCCATTGTATTTTTGAATGGAATAAATTAGTTTGTAACAGAAAATGATTTAGATGTTTGATATGACTTGTTAATTGATTTCTGAAATCCCCTTCACCATTGATATGTCTTGTCGACATCATCGTTAATTGTTATGTCTGGTCGTCGATGATTATTATGTTGGAAACGTTGATCACTTATACTCGAAACGAGGGAATTTTGCAATTCTCCATGACGCGAAAGTAAAGGATACAAAGACCGGTATAAGTAATGATTTATTAACTTAAAAACACGATGAAGATGACGACAACCCTAGTCGAAAATGCACTCATTTACATATTGATTGTACACACATACTTTGACTAATAATTAGGATGAAGTCACATATATGAAAAATACTCAGAGTTATAACAAATCACATACTGAGCATAGTTCATGGCCGTTGAATACAAGAATATTGTATGTTATAAAGAATAAAATATCATACGGGAAAGTAAAACCGATTACTTGCTGACGAGTGCCAAGTAGCACGAAACCCGGGTCCAGGGTTTCCTGTTGACTACCTCCAACCACCATCTAAATCGCAATACATAGTGCCTGCAGTGTCGAGTCACCTAGACTGGTGGCCACATTGCAACATGATCGATAGCATTCGATCTGCACTAATAAGGACTAGACAAGCATGACATTGATCACCACCCAGTGATCAATCAATTGTGAGATTCTGTTACCATTTATGGACTCTAAGCGTATTATCTCAAATAGCATTTAGTCTCAAAGTTTGATTAATGTTAATTAGTGGTTAAGAATGGTATTTAGGATGTATATTATTTTTTCAATTTAATAATATACATAACCGTTACGAATAAAATTCATATCATTTCAACAAGCTAGTGGCTAGTTGAACTCAATAGTTCAATGAATAATGCGTTAGCACTTGAACATGAACACTGGGATGTAGATACATCTGATCGATAAGTTACAAATAGGATTAAATCCACGTTTTGGACTTCATTGCCAGTCACTATATAATGAAGTCGTTCAACTAAATAACAAAATCAGAGTAATCCACAGTTAGGGAATTCGAGATTGTTCATCGCTTGAAGAACTTACAGATAACTATAAAAGGATAGAGATTCATATTTTTAAGGTGTTAATGGCGTTGTAATAGTCATCAAATTGTATGTTTCATTAAAAATTTTAATTTGACCAAGGGATTTAATAAGAACAATGACAGGAATATCGTTTTTTTTTCAAATTTACATGTTTAGTTATTCCGTACACTTAATGTTTTTGGGTGTGTTTACTCAAAGTTAGTAGAATTACGGTTAGTTGATACAAACAAAATGGTAGATACAACTTTTCTTGTCTTTATATTACGATTATGCAGGGAGTAGGATTTTATAAAATATCAGTGGAAAAGAACGGAGTAAATGAAAAGCATACGTCACTCAACAACTTAAAGAACCCAATTACTGTCTTAAGTAAATCGTTTTAAAAAAATACGCTGGCCAAACCACTTTACACTAACTAATTTACATGTGAGTGTTTTTGAGTCTTATTTTCAAATATAAACTTTAACTGTATTCTATCATCGTAATTAATTTGGTTTGATATCATAGAGAAAAGAATGCTTGAAAATATGAAATAATTTTTTGAAAGTTATTTAATAGCTTCTCTGACAATCGAATTTGCTCATTTTTTTGGTAAAACTCAAAATATTTTACTTACATAGTGATCCTAATTGAAAAACTATTGAAAATTAAGTTACATTAGACACATGTTTTGTCCTAGTGTTGAACTCCTCGGAAATGCACACCTATGGCTGTTTTAGGGATAGAATAGAGGTTTAATCTTTAAACTATTGACCCAACATTCACTAGTTTACATATTTATGTCCAACCGGTTTGCGATATTGTGCAACTATGCTTTAATGCCACTACACGCAAACTACTGGAAGGGATCTCAGTGGTCTAACCAACTCAGTGTTTGTCTTGAGACAGGTTCGAACTCTAGTGGGGTGGTGAGGACACACTGTTGAGGGGCCCAGTATGTAAACGGGAAGGCTGTCTAGTGCTTCCTGGATTCCAGTAATTATATAGGATCAGTATATGGTGTAAACTATGAAATTCAACAATCTCTACAAACCCCCATATATTAACGAATACTGGTGTTTCACTGCGTAGCATATTACTAATATTATTTTATATAAGCGTTAGTGCATCTCAAATGAAAAGTGATTTATTTTTAAGAAGTTCCTTGAAACCGTTAGTTGAATCTGTTCTGAAATCAATAAACGAGCGGGTCCAGATTCATTGATAATAAATTCAAGGATTCATATATGTGATTTTGAGTCATGTATGTTTAAAGACTGAAATAGAAATCAAATGTTTATTTAGTTAATTTTAGTCAATAGTGAAAATTATCTCCAAAATAAAAAATGTTTTTATATATCTAAATGCACCATACTACTCATTATTAGTCAGTAGTATGAACATTATAGTTATATACTGACGCAGGTTGAATCATAAACAGTAACCATCAGTCGATTGCTTTTGGCGTAATTCAGGACACAATTATCCAGAGTAATGAGGTTTCAAATTGTTTTCACACTACTTTATTTATTATCCTTGTCTTCTCTTACCCTCTATTTCTAGTCTATTTGACCATTTATTTTTATATATAAATGTTCTTAACAAGTATATTGTATGTGATCAGATTGTTCGAAATTTATTGCGCTAATATATCACATATTTCTAATAATCTTCGCCTTATTATACTATAGATACAATTAAGTGTGTTTATAGAGTTTCTCGTAGTTTCCAGTGTATTATATACTAGCCGTTACAGTTAAATTATCCACATATTTATGATACATGCAATCGGGGGCAATCTTTTGTACGGATGTTTGAGGGAGTTTGTAAATTATTATCACTGAATCGTTGTTAGCAGGCGGTTTCGTGGACCCCATAACTGATTTTCACGTTAATAATGTTGAAAGTATGGTGACAATTAAGGAAGAATCTTTGACTTTATTTAGTCTTTAAAGGTAAAGGGAACTATAGATATTGGGAAGTTTTTTATCGCACCTTCGTTGATTTTAATAACAATAAATCAAACATAAAACTTCATAAATTAAGTTATTTAAAAAGTGCATGTGCATTCTAGACTCGTTTCACTGGCATTTTAACTGATTACTGAAATTCTGTGGAATCACTACTTACATTTAAACTCAGTAATATGAATAATCTTAAGACTATTTATATTTTCAGATGCTTTATCGTGACACCTATTAATCATCAACCAATATAATTGAGTCTAGCCAGTTAAACTTTTTAGACGGACAGTAAGCTATGTTGCTCAACATAGCAGTACATTGTATTTATTAAGTAATATGTGGGTGACGTTCATCATGAAACGGTTTTTTTTTCAATATTACCTAGACCCCAACATGGTGAGTTAGGTAACCATTAGAATACGTATTATGATTCTTCCTTCCTTACATATACTCAATCAGTCAGTAGTGATGATGCATCAATCAAAATTCGGATTTATCCTTCTCTGAACCGAGTATGCTAATCTGTCTCTAAACCAACTAAGCCACGAAACCAACGACGCACCTAGCCTGACACCATCAACCTTAAATAATGGAAAGATAAATTCTTAGCCCCAATTGGTTCAGGACGCACACTTCTGATAGTCAGTTCCTAGTCCAATGGGAGAACACAGAAGGCATGTTTCTATGTAAGCCTACAAGTCAAGTACTCGTGGGTTTATAAACAAAAATTATCAGATCACAATTGGGAAATATGCTGCATATATCCAGCGGCAAAGAGAGTAGAAAGTGCGTAATTCACCAGCAACGATCAAGGAATAATAAACCGATCACAGTAGTTGAAATGCCCAACGAAAGCTCACAGAGAATATTGTAATGCAGTAATCCAACCATCACTAATGTTAGGAATCAGTATTTCCCAATGATTGGAGGAAAATTGTTGTTACTCATGCTTTGCTACATAATGCTAACAGCTTCGTCAGAGTAATAGTAAACTGAAATTTAAAGAAATGTCAGGTTATATGTAGTAAATTTATCAAAATTCTCCTGAATAATGTAATTCTCTGTTGTAGAGGGAATGAATTAATAAAGATAACAGCCGGGTGTAGATTATTTTATTTGATAAGTGTAAACATTTTAAACAGAGGGCGTATTAAACTCTTTTCTTTTCCTATTTGTACTATTAATGTTAGCTTGAGAGAAAAGGGTATTGAAGTCTGGTCAAATTTAATCTTGATAGATCAATACTATTCAAACAATTTAAAATACCTCTAATGTGAATTATTTCTGGCATGAGCCATTCTTTTAATTTTTTTAAAAATTTTCCTAACTAGTCTTGTCAAAGTCAATCAAATGACGTGATATTGGATCCTATCAGATTTCTCGTCAAACAACAGCTCAACGATGTTCATTTATTCTGACACTGATTTCTTGATAAGTTTGTCTAATAAATGTTGCCTCATAGTCGGAAAATTTTATTTTATAAACAGAATTAGATCATGAATCCTTTGGTATTCCATCTGTTAAATGAATTAGTAACTCTACAATAAAAGCATAAATATTTCTTCGTAAATTGTTCCAAAAGTTACAACATCTTCAGTTTTTACCCCATTAGAACAATAAGGAAGATGTAAGAATCTAGAATTTATTAGCGGTTGAAACACCAATTCCATTACATTCAATTACAGACCTTATCAGGTAAGTAACAAACGTTATTTGATCTAGGATTAAAGATCAACTTATATAGTCTAAATTAACTTGATAAGCTGACAAGAAAATATCAGTGTAATAGTATTTGCACAATGGAACGAGTGAAAATCACTCAACATAAATTAGCCATCGGTAAATCAAAACAGTTCAATATAAACATTCTCACCTAACTAAGTATTAAGATTTCATGAAATGTGATATGAAAGAATCAAAATTACACAATTGAGCCAGAATGAAAATTGGTTAGTATGATGTCGCAAAATATTTTCACAAACTGTTGATCAATCGATTTTAAATATTATTCAGGTCAAACCATATCAATCTGAATGTTCATCAAACTGTAAATAGATCGTATAAAATGTAATGTATTCATATATCAGTTTGATTTGAATCTAGGGTCAAATAAATTCGTTATCACTAGTCTTTGTTTTCTTGCTACGTGGTATCATATTTGGGATTTCACTATTAAGCATATATCAGTTAAGCATTCCGTAGGCAAAACAAAATGAAAAAGCTTGAAATCGTCGAATAGAATCCATAGAATTCATTTTAATCTGCAATTAATGGTGCACATGGGCTCTAGTATCCTGAAGGAACAAATGGCGTATGAACCAATCGTTGGTCTCCGGCTACCATGGGAATGCATCTCCTCACGATGCTTCACTGCCTTGTGGGTCAGACCTTCAGGTCGAAGGCTCCGGGCGTGGCTCCCTAAGAAAACCACCTGCTTCGGTCTGGGCACCCGGACAGTATCACAGCCCTCACATAAATTGAATGATTTATGTGGCGCATATGTATTTGGTGCCTCCTTGTACCAATGTTTATGTGTTTAAATAAATAAATAAATAATAATCTGCAATTACGTAATGATAAATGTTGTACTCTCTTATTCTAGTGATTAATGAAATTTTTATTATCTTTCTAAGTAAAATTATCAGCATCAACTCTGAAAAATGAGTTAGAACTTAAGAAGAATCTTCAAAGAAAGATGAATACTATTCAAGACAATGTGATATTGCAACCAACTGATGAAGAGATGACTAGATCCAGTTAAGTATTATTCGTATAAAACTTATTATCAAACCTATATTCAATTAATTTATCTGCGACAATACAATTGAACTAAGTAAACCAAATCATAAGCCCATGGGATAAAGATCTCAATTGTGTAACGCACATCTTCATTATCACTGTCAACAAAAACGTGAATAGAGAATTTTCTTGGTGTTTTTTTAAAAAGATTTCAATTATCAATAGGGATGTAGTGAAAATTGTTGAAATCACGATCCGATCTAAGCTAAAAAATCATTATTATTTATTTTATTTTAACACATAGATATTGGTTAAAGGAGGCACCAAATACATATGCGCCACATAAATCATTCAATTTATGTGAGGGCTGTGATACTGTTCGGGTGCCCAGACCGAAGCAGGTGGTTTTCTTAGGGAGCCACGCCCGGAGCCTTCGACCTGAAGGTCTGACCCACAAGGCAGTGAAGCATCGTGAGGAGATGCATTCCCATGGTAGCCGGAGACCAACGATTGGTTCATACGCCATTTGTTCCTTCAGGATACTGGAGCCCATGTGCACCATTGGTTTGGGATCCGGTTAAAGTGTCGGACATTCACTTTTCGTCCTCTCAATTTCGTGGACAATACCCCCACCACGAGAAGGCAGTGAGTAGGACTTTCCTGGCAGAGGCTATATTCGCGTGGCCATGTCAGAGCATTTGGAGAGGGAGAGCGGACTCCCCCCACTCTCGACGGTACCAGGGCATTTAGGGGCTGGTTCATTCCAGTATGGGACTCCTGAATGGTGTACACCTACGATTCTGAAACTGGAGACCAAACTCACGAATTTCGGTCTCGAGAAAGAACGCTTAATAATGATTTCACATTTAGAACCAGAACAACTATATTTCATCATATGATAGTAGCCTACACTGGAATACGAAATTATTTCATCATATTCGCGACTTGTCAGCTCAATGTGTTTACATAGATAGACTCAGTCTAAAGCCAAAAACCTTGAGAATCACAGCATATCTATTGTCCACACGAACTAGAATTTATAACAACAACCAACGTTCCAAACGAGTATGATCTTTGGTAATAAAAACCCTTAAATCTATGAACTACCTTTCTGTAACAATCAGATTCAATACTAATCTACTAAAAATCAATCAACCAATTAGACTCTCAAACCAATGATAACCATTAAAAAAAACAAGTATAAGTCGGGGAGACATCAAATGCACTGGAACGACGAAGTATAGGGGGAGTTCGCTCTCCCTTTTGAAACGCGTATATAGTCAATATCAGGGAAATCCTACTGACTACAATATCACAGTGGGGGTGTTGCTTACGAGATCTAGAGGACGAAAAGCGAATGTCCGGTGCTTGAACCGGTTTAGTGGATACGGAGTAACCATCTAGGGGAATTGGAAAACTCTGATTCCTGAAGAAAAGTGCATGTGAGATCTATAATCCTGAGATAACAAACGATGTATGAACCTATTCTTGATTTTTGGCTGCCATGTAAGCGCATCTCCTAACGTTGCTCTATTACCTTGTGGATTAGATTTTGAGGTCAAAGAATCAGAGAGTAGCCTACTAAGAAAAACCTGCTTCGATTTGTGTACCCAGACAGTATCCCAGCTCATACAGAAATGTAATGATTAATTATGTGGCCTATATATATTGTAATGCCCCTTTGTACAAATGTTTATGTGCTTAATTGGATAAACAGATATTAGTAGAATAGGGATTTGTATGAATTGAGGATACACATTGCTAAGGAGTCCCATACCAGGACAAAACGGCCGTTTATTGCTTCTAGGTTTTCAATGATGGTCTAGCTTACATCGACTCATGAATTTAACTATTATAATAAATAATCGTTAAAAAAAATGTTTTTTTTACAATTCCACAGTTAATTTTATTATATCCACTTATACAGACATAGAATAAGAACTAAATATTGAATGTGGAAATTAAAACGAAACAAACTTCCAAACAAAAACTTTCGACAGATAAGTTGAACAATTATAACATGTGAATATCATCTAAGATAATTATTGCAACTACATTTTGAAGTGAAAACGAATGAAGAAATTGTATAGTTACACATAAATAATAGAAAAACAATAAGAGCCTAGTAGAAATTTTTTTTAAAAACAAAAACTTAAAAGTAACTATGCAATACACACACGCATATATATATACTTCCCTATGTATAGACAGTAACATTGGCGCATATAAATTATACACAAATAAGGAATGTTATCGCTTCAATTGACACTAGAGAACATAATAAAAGATTTACTTGACTTGTTGATAACAAAAAAGAAAATATAATAAGAATAGTGAAGAACTGACTAGTTTTAAAGTCCACCGGAACGTTGACCACTTGTATCACCTAATATATGTTTTATATATAGACGATTTAATTGTTCTAAAAAGATAAATGTCAATACTGTGTGAGGTCCAATACGCAGAAAATATGGTGTAAAACCTTTCCATAGTGATAGAATACCTTCATTTCGTACTACTCGTAAAATAACATCCTAGAATAGAAGAAAATAATGTTATATAAATAAAAAAATGAAGAACTATGTTAAAAATACAAAACTTGTTTTAATCATTTTTCATAAAAGTCATATTGTCAGTTAGTCATAAGCAAAGTAGAACCTGATAAATATGTGCATAGAATTAGTAACATTATCAGTAGTAGTGGTAGAAAATATATGGTATAGACAATATGATTACAATAATTGCATGAACTCTAACTAGATAGTAGTCTGCAGGTACCAATATAGTTTGTATCAATAGTTAATGACTTCATAGACTAACACTATAACTTAGTTTGTTTCATACTTTCCGTTAATAACTCAACAATCCCCCAGTAGAAATGGGAAGTAGTGTACTATGGTGGATTAATTTCAAGATAAGTAGGAAATAAATATCTGTTAATGACATTTGCTTAAAGATGTTTGTATAACATACATAGAACACAAAAATGAATCGTAAAGAATAATACACATTCATAAAATATCAGGAAACGTTTACAGTTTTGCATACTAAGTCATTGGTTAAATCAACTTTTCAAACATTGATACGTCATTTTAGCTTCTTATATTAATCGAAAGTGAAGTGCGGTTTGAACTATTCACGAAATAGTAAAGAGATACTTTATCTGAATACATTCAGGGGAATTATACTTAATCATTCATCTTCTCATTCATTGCGAGGTTAAGAAAGTAATACTTAACATAAGGCTGGAGGAACACCACAACCGAGCCGATAATGAGTAATTTCTTCGAGAGTATCTGCAAGATCCTCGTTTGAAATCAACTGATAAAAGTAGGTTTTAGGAAATCAAAAGGAATGACAAAAACCAATTATCGGGGCATAAACACCGATATTTCATAGATGTTGCTTAAATCACTCAATAATATTATTAATATATAGAAAATCAAAGATCAACTAGACAAATTAGAAGGCAAGAGAAAAGGAAAGATGATAAAGAAAACACGGTGAAATACACGAAGCTGGTCAATAAATCAATATTGCCATGGTCTACTTTGACAACGTTTAGGGTGATAAAAATTGGTATTAAACATGAAAAGAGGGTTTGAACTTTCGTATCTCCAAGGCCTCAGTAAACCTTAGTATATGGAACTCTCCAATAATTTACTTGAAAACTCAATCTAAAATATGTCTTTACAGGTGGTACGTGGATAGTATTATAATCTTAGGAGACGAATATGAAGATGAAAACCACCTGTTGAGGAAATTTAACACACTTCTCTATGAGAAGAGGATGTGAATAACCAGCCTTCGTTTTTAAACATACTAATTAGTAGGAAAGGGATGGTTGCATCAAAAATTCCATATATAGAAAGTATATATAGACAGAGCAATATCTTAGTTTACATAGTCATCGTCTAGTCCAGTACGAACATGAGCTAATAAAGAGTTTATTTATTAGGACTAATCATATTTGTACAAACAACACTATTAAAGAATGTGTATTCACTAAAGCTCATAAGCCCATAGAAAGGAAAGAATATGATGAGAAACGCTATGCTTTCAATACATAAAAAACTTGTCTATATCACCCTATCATTACCAAAATATCCTCACGTTGAAACGAAGACTTAAATTAGCGATCAGTAATTCTCTTTACGCGGCCCAACTCATCGTTTCGAAGGAAAAAAGTTTATATTTCACCAAGTCCCGTCCCTAAAAGAACATAAACGAGTGCAACATTCTATTGCGTCTATAAATTTATATGTTTGTGCAGACATACAAATATAGGGAGGGACAACTGGGACCTGAAAGTGGCTGGACACAAACCTAATTGGCTACAAAAACAAATGAATCCCAATGATCGAATAAAATCACAGCATAGATGAACATTTTCCTTCATTGAGAAACATTTAGTTGAGATGGTTTATCTGGTTGATATTAAATCACCTCTTGTAGTGTTGTATGGGTATTCAAATGCGTTTACTAAATTTGTTGGATTCTTATTTTATCTTAACAAGTACTTGTATGATCAGATTGTGTATAGTGCTAATATAGTTCTTATAATCTGTATCTTGCGATTGGATTATTCAAAACTATCAAAGCGACTAACTGTTTTAAAGATAAAAGGAACTATGTGTATGAAGTTTTAGATGTTATTGAACCAAAAGTAATTCCAAACAGTGTGTTCGTCTTTTTTAGATTTCTTGCAACATTCTTTACATCAGATTGTAATGACTCATACAAACTGTAATTAATATGACAGGCTGATACAAAAAACTATTTTGTGACCTTATCTGACCTTTATATCTTTAACTGTAACATTCATAGTCATATAGTATACCTTTCATTTACGTACGTTCATGTGTATGCATGTTTTTTTTTAAAATTGCCGTTTGTCTGTATTAATATTTTCGTACATCAGCTTGGTTATGGAGTTAGTGTAAAGCCAACCCCTAAGTTTTATGCTTATTTTTACCAAAATCATCCATCTGAGCAACAAATCTTTTTCATCTCAAAATTCATTTTTACCACATCTGTCTACTTGTGTATGAATGTCTCAAATAAATTTTCCAAGCACATTTTGTATTTGATTTTTGTTAACCCACTATTGCACAACAGCGTTAGGCCAAGTGTAATGTGCGAAACTAACTGGGTAATCATATATTATCATCGTTGCAGTTCATGGAGCTAATAACATTCATCAATTTAAATGTAATTAACAATCATCGTCAATAAATTATTTCTGTTTCAGGTCAAGTGGAAATCGAAATGCTGCTAGCTGAATATTTTCACTAGTTATTTAACGATCATTTTACTTATTTGATTCAAATGTCTTGATAACGAATTTTTAATCGTTATCTCACAAAACATATACTTTATCAGATATTAATTACATTAAATACTTAGTGATTGATCATAAACCAACATCTTGACTTCGTCATTCATATATACTGTTTACATTCATTATCGACTTTGTAGTTAGCAGGATGAGTCGTTGTGCATCAGCTTGGGTAAACTTAACTTCCTGTGGTTTATCATTAATGACGTACTATTGATACCTCGTGTGTTTTTTTACTTCTTCATACAAATTCAAAGTGAGGTTTGGGTCAGCACTAGGATAACTTTGAGTAGATTGGTTCCTTTACATTAATTTTATTTGAATACAATGAGGATTTCCAGTTATTTCTGAAGGGATGAGCTTGAAGTTAAGAATAATACGAATTGAAGCAAACAATTTAAGGTGAACAAACAACACCAATCCAAAACTTATCAATGGTCAACAACATCTGTATGACATGTCCATTGACTAATTTTCAGTGCTTGTTATAAACTCGGAGAGTACCTTGTATGATTGTTGCAAAATAACTGTAGATGCTTATCACTGTTATTAGCTTATTGAATTTTTTTCTGATTGACGTTTTTTATCAAAGTTTCCCTCCCTGCTCAACGCTCTACCTCTATCCGAGCTTGGGACCGGCAGTACCCTTAGAAGACCTACAGGAACTGAGAATTAGAGGTAGACATCAAAAGGAATGAATAGTACTTGGAAACAACTTGAAAGTAGAGATCAAGAGAGTTGATTGGAGAATCCTGGTCGGCCTATCCCCCACTAGAGGTAACAGGGCGTAAGTAAGTAAGCTTTTTGAGATAACAATAAAAGTTCGACTGCATAAGCACTTACCTACTTTACTTACATTCCCTGTTTTTATCCTGAACTTATCTCGGGTTTATTACATCAACCTAATTCTGGAACAGGTCTAATAACCAACCAAAGTATTCACCGTTCACTCAACAGAAATTCAACTGTCATAAATTTTTAAGCAGAAACTACAAATAACATATAATCACTTCCCAGATGTTACAAACATTCACAAAGCTCATTCACTGTACATTGTATGACAACTATCGACAAGAATCTATTCTAAAAATGAACTGTAAACGTTTACTTCAAACAATACTTTAATGAAGTTATATAACAGATTATCAATCATATTTAAACTGATACTGTCTATTATAATTATTTACTTATAGTTAATCAACTAATCTTTAGTGAACATAACTTTCAGCTAAAATAACACTATTCGATCACTAGAGGAATGGTAAAAATATTTGTTGAAACACAATCAAGAAGTTATTCTTTAATAGGTATGCGAAAAATAAAAGATTCTTACCCCCATATTTTTATACTCTGGTTTTCCATCAATAGTTTTCATATTTTGAATTCTAGTCTTAGCAATATCAATCGGTAAAGAGAAAACAGATGTAGTAAAACCACTTAATAAGCTAGCCATTATGTGTACATTCAATCCATCAGTGAAATGACCTAGAGAAAAGTAAAAGAATTCCAAAACATGGATAAATTTACTTGATGGGCATAACCTATTATATAACAAATGACATGATATGGACTTATTACATGAAACTGTAATCATGATGACGATGATGTAGAACACTTGAGTCAAGATTATGTGTTTGTTGACACTCATTCTACCAAGAATATTTAAATTGTTTAAAGATCGTCATCATATTAAAAATTCGATTGTACTATTATTTCTCTCACCCTATCTGACCCATATTTATTCGGATCATGGATCTTAGAATGTAACTTAACATACAAGCCGATTCAAGTTAATATTCCATATGAGTCCTATCAACATTAACAATTTTATTCTATTTTATTAGTCTTTTAATATTTGAATTCACTAACTGCTGTCGTCCTCACCACACTGAAACATATAGCTATTGTTTACATATACAGAAGTGGAATTTATCACACAGTTGATAGAAATACTATTATATGAGTTAAAATAAATGTGAAATCGAAATCAGACATGACGCTTCCTGGTGAAGTTTTCTCAGGAAATAAATCCTGAAAGTAAGGTATCAAGAATCATATTGCGATATAGCTTATCGATAAGTTCGAATGATTTAATTCCATCAATTACTTTACTAGTAAACTTTCGTTAATTTAAGACAGAGGATACAGTGATTACCGATAGGAAATACTTTTCTAAAATATAACAATTTCCGAAGCACAACCGATCAATAACAACGTTTTTGATATCGAAGTGGAGTTTCTTACTTCAACTTTAAAAAAAGAATTTAGTGAATCATGTATTAACCCTGAAATATTCTTCGAACACAGATCAAGCCAAAAACGTAACTGATAAAAGCGTTGAGTCGAATGGGTTCACTGAATGGCTTGATCAAGACTGTTTCATACAGTAGTAGTTTATACATTAATTAGTGGATTATAAATTAATCATTTGTATTTGTATTAGATTTCAACATTAAACATCATAATGGAATGAAAACTAAATATTTTTTAAAATATTTATTGAAAAATTAGCTCTAACTTACCGACTTCAAGAAGTTTTTGTTTGGCTTGAGAATAAGTAGCTAATTGTGCACCATTAACTACAGCTGCTCGACCCATAGTTGGGACTGCACCCTACAAAGTAAAATTATACAGGGAAATACACATATGCTTCTTCCGAATAAAAAAACATTCAAGTGACGATTCATTGGATTATACGATATGACTTGTTCAGTAGTTGGATTTAGGATGACTGACAGGATGTGTACTACCGATTAACTAGTGAAACAATGAAGTGGTTATGAAAATATTGAGCGAAAGAATTACTTTAACATTTGGCTTAAAATAATTTCTATTGCGATATAACACATACTTTTTTATTTAATTTTGTTTCTTGACTGTTGAGTATTAACATGTACTTGGAGAAACTTGATATCTATCATGCATCAGTTTAGAGTTGTAGAGATCGTTGAGTTTCATTGAAATCATGAACCGATCTAATTTGAAACACCATTTAAAACTTGGAAGCACTGGAAGGCCGCTTCGTCTTAGTATTGGAGTCCTCAGAAGTGCGCATTCACGACTCCGTGAGTGGGAAACGAACTCAGGACCTTCAATCTTGCGAGCAAACGCTTATCGTATAGACCAATGAGCCAACATCCAACAGTGTTAATGTCTAGCTCGTAGATGTTCACTGCTGAGGAGTCCCATACTAGGACGGAACGGCTATTCAGTGCTTCCAGGTTTTCAATGGTGGTCTAACACAGATGGGCTCATGATTTCAGTGACAAATCATTTACTTTCACAGAATAGGTTTGACCAATGTATATGAACTTGAAGATTGTAAAATAAAACGTATACTCTGATAATAGTGAAGCTGAACAGGTTATAAATATTGGTGTTTTAGCTTGGTAATTTCCGAAATGTGAATTGGACAAACACTGATATCATTTTTGTGTGTGATTTTTATTCGTTATTAAGTAAAGCTAAACGAAAGACATTAGAAATCATCAAAATGAACATTTCATTTAGAGGGTGAATTCCCTCTAATAAACAAATATACAATACAAACGAAAATTCAGAAGCGCTAGGTACCTAAGAGAATTACCGTACATTTTAGTTAATTTCAATGTTTATATGGATAAATTATCCACCACAAACTTGATGGAAATGTAATTACGAACAAAAAGTAACAATTTTTATAGGATAGATGGGATGTATCTAACAGTGGGATCTAGGAAGAGCGTTTCGTCCTATTTGGGACTAGTTAGCTGGCTGTACGTGAATTACAGAATTAATGTTCACTTCATGACGCCAAACCGGTACCTTTCGCTCCAAGTGCCTAATCCGTTATCCACTTATTTACTGAGTCCAGATAGTTGCTAGCTTGTGACAAACTAAAGCTTATCAAAATTCAGTCAAAAATATCAACGATAATCTAATCTAAACTATTATGAACTAAATTAGGTGTGAATTCCTTTGCTATTACTACTTCATGTTGAAATAGAGCTAAAACAAGATATTGATACTAATTTGTTAATCTACGCATTCAAAAAAACATAAGTTCAGTGGATAAGAATGAAAAGTGGGAAAGATTAAAGTAAGAGTAACATAAAATATGATTTGAAGGATGAAATTAAGAGAGATGACTGGCACTCGTTAGCAAGACCCACCTGCAACCTCGAGAAAACTGATTCTTGCTTCGCGATTCTAAACCACGTCAAGCACCCTCACAGGTTGAGATATTACCACTAAGTTGAATGATAAAGGTTTGAATCCCACAGGGGAACATGAACTATCTCAAGATTACAGGTACACCTAAGGTATGCTTAATTGCTAATATACTACCTCATATATACTGAATATTTGGAAGTTGTAAGAACGCGAATTGATGTAAACTTGAAAACTTGTACGTCAGTAGTTAACTCGGGAGATTATCATCACATTAAACAAACCTCCATAAAAAGATCACATTTTACAAGATTTTATATGATAATATTTTGATTATTTACAATAATAGAAAAACGTGCACGCTTCCTACACTTCACATGATAGTGTCAGATGAGTGAAAATGAGATAACTAAACATGACCTATTAAATTCCGGTTCATTGTTCAATCTATCTTTTTTTCATTTGTCTACATTGATTATCTACATTCAATAAAAGAAGAACAATCGGTCACATTCAATTCGACTGTTAACTTTATTGATTTGTTTTATTGACATACATAGTTATTGACAAACCCAATCGGAATTCATGAGGTCATTGTGTGGTGTGATAAGTTTAAAGCGTAAACCTAATTCAACATTATCATTCTCTTTAAATATAATATCAAGTATTTACACTAGACATTCTTTTTAAAAAGATGTCATGAAAGTCAGATATTATTTAATGGCTTGTAGCGATTATTAACCGTAGTCTTTTTTTTTAATGTGTCATTTGTTATCTATAGCATTTTACTTTTCTTGTGGCATCGGCAGATTTTCTGCATAAACCTTTTCATCGGAAGTTATCAAAATTTTACAATACACAAATTGACTATCGTCTTATTACAAGTTCAAAAATTTATGATATATAACAGAAATAAATATATTTGGCGAAACGTTTGAATATACATAAGCTTATGAATTTGCAGAAATGGTGAACAATAAGATCAACTAAACTATCGTTGTCGTCCATAATTATGTGTAATTGGTTTATGAAGTACAGGTTTATGCGCTAGGTTTTGAGAGATTTATATGAGTTACTAATATTAACTGGTTGTTCATACCAAAGTAGGTGAGGTGGGATTCGAACCTGTGGTCTAATAGTTGGAAACTGAGTACTTTATCCATCAAACCATCGTTCATTTATGATTGAAAATCGGACGAAATAAATTATATATAAGGACTATTTATTGTCAGAGATTAGAAATGTGGTGACTCAAAATTCCCATATAGTATCTATTTATCTTCGCTGTCAATCTTACCGTATCACTATTAAATTTACTATATTTTTTTTACCCAGCCATACGTAACGTAGAATTTGACATGTAAGTGAATCGGTTTAAGTTGTCATACCACTTTAGTACAGCCAGATAACATTATTTCAAAACGAACCGCAGAGTAGTAGAAGTGGCAACAGTATCATCAGGTAGTAGAATATTTTGGGATTCGGGTTCCGAAGGAAGACAAGGAGCAAAATTCACACCTACTACTGTGAGCGGTTCTGAGCCATGTCGCCCCAAGCCTCTAACCACTGATCACAATAACCGCTCAGACCTCAACCAGGTAGTCTACATTTACTAGCACGGCATAGTTCAATTGTCAGTTACTTCATGAACTGGTTCTACATCTTGGTTTGGCGGCCCTTAACTTTCTTCAAACATCCTACGACGCCAAACAGTGGCTGGGGATACGTAATACATGTCCCAACAACCTCAGTTAGTGAAGATTCAACAAACCATCAGTGAATTTAACATATTTACCTAGTAACTCGCCTCTGACCTGAACATTGATAACTCGGTCGTTCAAACAAATATGAGCGATGCTTTGAAGATACCTATGATCAAATACTATTAACTTAAAAATATCCATTATTCTTAATGGCCTCGTAGTTAAGGCCTTCGGCCTTTAACTATTAAGTTCCTGGTTTGAACCCCACTTCATTTACTTCAGTTTGGGAAACCGGGTAGAACCATTAGCTCTAACATAGAGTGTGGCTCATATGCAAGTATTTGGCAACGGAATTCGTTCTTATTTGCTTAATGACCACGTTTCATATCCATAAAGCAGAACATAAAGAAATGCGCAGCAACCTCGTCTTTTGGTTAGTATACGAATATCTCGTCTACGCCACGAGTCATGTGAGTTGGCAAGGTCCAATCGAGTTTTCTGAATCCGTGCCGAGATTTTGATAGGGACCAGCCCATCAGGACTGATGAAACGGTGAGGTGGTCAATGTACTCAACCATTTCTATTTTCTAGGACAATGTCGAAGACCAAGGTATTTTAGTGATAGGATACAAGGGCTATGTGGACTGTGTACACTAATTAACAATGATGTATGCATCCGACTCACACCCTTTGCCTTTTTGGGACTTCAAGGTTCTGACGCCTGATTGGACAAGCTCCCAGTATAATTTATTAGTACAGTAGACTTTTAAAAAAAACTCTAGCCTGATTTATTTAGAATTATTCGGACTCGTAGGTCTCAATTTTTAGTGTCAGAAGGCTTGATTTTTGAGAATAGTCTTAATAAGTTAAATGGTGAAATTTAAGCAAGCTTAAATGAATCGAATACGTAAAATATTTTCATAATCATTCGGTTATATACAAATACCTTACAATATATATACATATATTACTACATATATTTTTAAAAAAAGATATGATATTAATACCAGGTTAGTTTACTTACCCGCCACAATGTCAACACTCCTTCTTCGCGAGCGATTCTTATTAGAGCATTGAACACATTGGAATAATTTAGACGTTCTGCTGGTGGTAATCTTATGAATTAAAATATTCACAAACAAAAAAGCTAGTTACTAGCTGGTTATTAAAACGATTTGGGGTTAGAAAATTGGATTGTTTTTAGCAAACTCTAAATTTAACAGATAGGTTACTAATGTAAATAAGATTAACTTCGTAGTGTTCTGGTGAGTGTTCATGAGGAGCGAAAACATAAATCGCCGATTTTTTTGGTTTACGAATAATGATCGAATTTCTAAACCGTCAATTTACTACTTGTGATAAAACGCATGGTATTACATTTTAGAAGTGAAATAAGAAAGTTTTATGAAATAGCTCTAACATTTTAATTTTACTAATACAATTTTCTTCATGATTGTGGACATACGTATACTGAAGGTGAAATATATGTGTGGATTAGGTTTTAAATTACAGATATTATTTCAGCCTGACCCACTTGTAAGAGAATCATTAACTGAACATGAAATTTTACTACCTCTTCGAGTATGATTAAGCTGACAAGTGCTAAATATGACTAAAATAACACAAAGAACCAATCCATGAAAGTCATAACTATTTCTCTAAGCCATGTATGTTACTTAGTTAGAATAACCATAATGTTATGAATCAATGATCTAGGAGCTGAGAAAAAAAGGTTCAAAATCAATCGCATGTGCGCAGACTGTCACCATGCTTAATCATATCTTCTCCTCTAATTTTTTAAGGATTATCTCCTCAGTTTCTATCTCTGTATTGTTGAGATATAGTTGTTTAGATTTTACATTGTCAACTATGTCTGTTATGATCGAAATAATTTACGATTAATCGAAGATGATGAGTTGTGTGAATAGCAAGCTAGTCAGTCATAAGTAACCCGACACTTGAGACATATGTTCCTTGATCCAAGTTGGCAGTCGGCTTTGGATCATACCGTTTGTATGAATATTAATGATACTATCTGGTTGCCAAACAAAAGTAGGTGGGAGTGGGGTTCGAACATCCAACCTAGTAATTGTAGGTCGAGCTTCTAAACAATACACCACTGCTAATAACACTCCAGTGAACTTCAAGGTACTATACGTTACAGAGGCCGAAGACGAAACATGATCATTGATTTACTCTAATATGAAAACAAACCACGACCTACATATAAAAAGATATATTCGCAAGATTTCGAGACTATGGAGAACAATTGTAGCTCCGGAGAGCAATTTTGGTAAAAATATGTTTTATAGGTTGAATGGTTTAGGAGTGAAGCTTTCGTTATCTTTCCAAACAACACCATCAGCAAAAAAAGTCAAATCAAGTGAGGCATTCAAGTTTATTCACATATAACTAACAGGCTTGCCCAGCCGGCATTGATTTTGATTAGTTGGTGTTAACACTTGATTTATCATTGCTTTCCCTTTGATTATTGATCTTTTAATTGTTCATGATTTTTCTAATTAGTTAATAAGTTGGATCGATTTTGATAAGTTTACTGATTGATAGTTTACCTGAATGGCAAGCTTCTAAAAATTCTCCGATATTCTTTGTATCCCCTCTGTCCAACATATCGAAATTTTCTCAACTGAACATTCACACACAATTGTCTCAGTGAATTGATATAAGTGAATATAAATCGTGGTGTTTGACGGCTAGTTAGTGGGCATCAAAAGGCCTCTTTTCTTTTTCGTCTGCATTAAACAAATGTGACTGTTTGTAAAGGTTGTTTAAACTACGTGGTCAGTTAGGCATTCATTTCTACTGAGTGCAGTAGGATTTAGTAATATGTCAAAAACTTCAGCGATTCACCTTTCCTGATAGGTTGGAAAACCTTTTTGAATTATTCTTGCACCTTTATATCGATTTGATAGTTGTTGAAAATACTGTTCCTGATGATTTAACTGGTAGATTCTCGAGTTCCACATGATTATCAGGTTGTTATACAGCTTAGATGTTTTTCGGTACGAATCAAGATTTCACGTGAAGACCCTCCAATATAGATACAACGAAACTTGTCAACATAATTCTGTGTAGCAGCAAACAGGATTCTACCTTTATTTCGAACATTTAGATGAGTATTAGTTGTGTTTTACAATGCATCAGTTTTGTGTTACCTTAAGATTCATTGCAGTTCATTTGTTGTATCAAACAATCAATCTTCTTTTAATAATTATAGGAGAATTATTGAATCCTAATTTTATTATAAGCAGTCCACCCAATTGTTAAATCCTGGTAATGATACCTATAAAACCTATGTATTTTTAAATTACATTACGTTACAAAAGCAAGTTAACAAGAATGTAACACACATACGTTTATATTATTACCTGCCATCAGATGTCATACGGATAAGACAAATTTCGGCTGGTGTACCAATGAATGCACCGCATATCCCAGCAGTAACGGCTATACTTATTTTAGTGAAGAAATTGGGAGATTCTTTTTTACGCTTTGTATATTGTTCAAATAAATTTGTGTAAATGCCTAAACGAGCAGTTGAGTAGGTGGCTTGGCGAAGTAATCCAGCTGATAAACTAAAAGAACAGTTAATTTTTATTCGTTTATTCAGTATTTTTGTTATAAATTATTCAGCTAGAAAATATTGATAGTATTTAAGTGGCAAATAATATTGTAGTATAGCTGACACTAACCACAGGATCATGTAATTTTATGATTAGCATAGAAAAGTACCTAGACTATGGTAATCATCTATCTAATGTAGATAAATTTAGCACGATAACTTTATGAAAGACGTGAACTTTAAATGTTCGAAGTGAATGCAAAACTAAGTAGTGATCCAATTTAGCAACAAAACCAAAGTTTGAATGCTAACTCATTTGCTTACAACCACGTTTTAGGGGCTATAATAGTTGGCTTAAAAATCAACAAACCGTAGTTTCACTGTTTAGGTGGGTAATTGTTTTTTTCTCTATGGACAGATGGTGTTTGGATTATCTTGTCCGGTGCTATATAGCTAAACCACCAGATAATGCATAGGAATACATACATAGAGATATTTGTATAGGTTAGTTTAGGTTGATTTTTGTCACAGATGAATACTAATTGAAGAACCATTAGAAACTAGGTCGTACTGAATTTCTGTTTTACTCTACCACCTGACACCAATGGTCCACATTTTAGACTTCAATTAATACATAATACAGTGTGATACTATATATCAGAGGAGAACAGGGGCCATATTTATCCCCATTTCAGTATTTTAGTAAAAATCCATACTGTATTATTAGTATTAACTCGGGGAAATTACTCATTTCCATTTAGCCTCCTTTCAGACTTCAGTATCAATTTTGCAAACATAATTTTAATAAAAGGGTCACAGAAACAGCTAAATACTAGTGAATTCAGTCAAGCACTTAACAATAATCACCGGACAGTTTATTTATAGATCAACTTTATGCTTCAGAACCGCATAATTGATAACGTGAAATTTAGTTAGGTACTTATGAAATAAGAATCAATAAATTCTGGAAATAAACTAACCCTGAGTATATCGCAAAAAATCCCTCATTTTTAATGACTGACAGAAGTACTTGAAGACTGTTACGTTGACCAGAAGTAGCACTTCCGATACCTGTGAATTTAACAACAGAATTAAATTGAAAAATATGTAAATAAATCCTTGACAATGATAAAGTGCACCGGATCATAACAATCGATTTGCAGCCAATCAAACGATTATATTTGATAAATTAAATGGGTGTAATATGCATACCGAATGAGTTTACGGAAAGTTATTTAATTGTGATTATTTCCTGCTTAAGATATTTTCTAACATCCAGTCACAGTATCATGTTAAACAGATTTTAAGGAAATATTTTGTAATATGAATACTTTTTAACTTGAAGAAAGACTCTTGATGTTGAGTAAACAGATAATATCGTTTTACTGTAAAATAGCGTGCAGGCTACTAAAAGTGCATTCGACTATTTGTTGGACAGTACTGTATTTAATTTGAATTACAAACTTACGAGATATTCTCACAATACTAGTAAAAGTCTGTGCCTGAACACTCACTTCGTGGTGATTTGCTGGAAACAATCGACTAGTTTGTGTATTCGAGTAGCTGTGACAGGTGATGATACGGATTATATGGATCTAAAAACATACTTAATTACATAGAAATCCTCAGATTTCGATGAATTTTGTTTCAAGTAGATACTTGAGGGCTGATTAGTTGTATCCTGAAGTTCCTAAGTAAGGATTCGTGGATAAGGTTAGGGGCCCCCAGGTTTGTAGTTTTGCAGCAAACCAGAGGAAAATATCAAGAAAAGATGGATGTCACTCGTTGTTTAAATAATAAATGTTGCTTTAGAATGTCATAAATATCTAATCATTTGGTAAAAAAAGAACAAATAAACTTAGCTAACTAAGTATAGAAATGTCTCAGATGACTAAATGAGTGGAACTTAATAATAGGTAGTCAATAAGTCGATCATACTTCTAGATAGAATTATGAAGCTATTATATTCTTCCTATTCCCATAAAACTGAATTATACCTGGAATTAATTAGTTAATATGATATAGATAGAATAGAATAAGTTCAGGTCTATTTATTAATTAATAGTTGCCATCGGACAGCTAGCTGTATTCCATCTCTCCTATTAATACTGTTTGGATTAGCCCATATATGTAGGGCTTCGGCTGTTAGTCTTTCTTTGTGAGAATTAAAGCCTTTTTGAAGGATTCTTGTGCCACTGAAATCAATTGTATGACCCGATTCTATCAAGTGTGATGCTATCGCTGATTTGTTATCGAGTTTTCTTACCTCAACTGAAGATTTAGGGATGTGCTTTAAGCATAGTTTGTATTCCTTCACCCTCACATTCAGTTGCCTTGATGTCTTACACATTCGTTTCATTAAGGTCACTACATTTGATTCCATAAACTCAACTCTGTTGTTCTTCCTTGTGTATTTGATCTTTGATTCTTACTAGTTTTATATCTTGGAGTATTGTTTGTCCGAAAGAATACTCTTATATTTTGAAGAGCTAGAATCTTTCTGATCACTTCTGAAATACCTTTACGATATGGGGTCACCACTGCGTTAATCTTTTTGCTTAACTTTTTTCTAGTAATATCGTTTTGTTCTTCATCCTTAATTATTCTTTTAATAAAATCCTTCGGATAATTATTCATCATTAGAGTGGATATAATTAAATTCATTCCTATTTCTCTATCATTTGGTTCAGTGACAAGATTTTTAACTCTGGTGATCAAATTTTTGGCTACTGTCACTTTGGTAGAGTGTGGATACGCTGACTTAAAATCTAGAAATTTCCCTGAATATGTCGGCTTTCGGAAAATACTAATTTTTGAACAATCATTATATTTCCTTTCAACTAAGCAGTCTAGAAAAGGTAATTAGCGTTCAAGAGATTCCAACTCCTTAGTGAACTTGATTTTGTCGTAAATGTTGTTGACATGTTTAAATAGTTCGTCTAAACCATCTCGTTTTATAATGACAAAAGTGTCATCTACGTATCTTAACCAAATTTTCGGTGGAATGGAACACATTGAGATAGCACTTTTTTCCAATGAATGCATGAATAAGTTAGCAACAATTGGAGAAACTGGTGATCCCGTAGCTATACCTTCTGTTTGTCTGTACAAATCTCCTCGAAAACTGAAAACAGTTGAACATAAAAATAGATCCGACGCTTTAACAATGTCTGAAGGATCTAGAGGACAACGTTGTTTAAGTTCAGTGTCAGAATCTAAAAGATTATGTACAATATCTAAAACTTTATTAACGGGAACATTAGTGAACAATGAGCAAACATCAAAACCTGCCATTATTTCATCCTCTTCTATCTGGATATTATTGATATTTTTGAAATCGTTAGAATTTTTTTGTTATTCCATATTTGATTACGCTTTCATATGGTTTAAGAATTTTGGCCAGATATCTAGAAAGACTATAGGTAGATGAATTTATGTAATTAACCACAGGTCTTAGTGGGATGTCTGTTTTGTGTATTTTCTGTAGCGCATATAAAGAAAACCATAAAGATGGTCCTAGTTTCGATGTTAACTTCTGTACCATTTTCGCCGTTTCAGCTTTCAACTTATTTAAAGTGGCTCTACATTTGTTCTTCATGATTTTTTCATAGGGTCCATTGTGGAGATGTTCATTGACTTTTCTTTCATAATCAGAATTATTCATAACAACAGTGGTGTTTCCGTTGTCTGCTTTCATAATAACTATTTTCCTCTCTTTACGTAGCTGTTTTAGAGCATACATTTCTTTCGACCGGGTAAGTTGTGAGATAGTAACTCATTGATGACAATGGTGGATGTGTCGTTCAATTTCGTAGATTAGTTGAATTTGGACATTAACACCGTTGGATGCCGACCGGCTCTGTGGTCTAGTGGTTAAGCGCCCGCGTGCCAGACTGGTAGGTCCTGTGTTCGAATCCCACGAGGTGGGGTCGTGAATGCGCACTGCTAAGAAGTCCTACAGTAGGGCGAAACGGCTGGCCAGTGTTTCCAGGTTTTCCATGGTGGTCAAGCTTCAATCGACTCCTTCCTCTTTGAATTCATTCTTTTATCTCGTTTATTTATCTTCATTTAATGCATGCTGTGACATTTTTGATTCATATCATATGTAAAAATTATGTTTTCTTAATATTCACCAACCGAAGACAATATATAGTGAATTTCTTCTTCTCACTTACGTATACACACAATTTGTTATCTTAACACTTTTCGTTTCACACCATATGTCTCTTACACATTAATGTAAATACCTACTTTGAACATTGTTAACGTTGATTGGATTACTTATTCAGTATACAGTAAACCGGAGAACCATGTACCTATTTATATTAGATAATTTTGATGCTTGATTATATTTCCTTGAAAAGCTTGCACTAGACTACCAGACGAAACGTTGAATTTACTTCAAATTCTTGCTCTGAGATTTTATAAATACATTCTTACTCTTTAATGTCTCACATTAACTCGGCGCCCAAATACTGTGGAACTATTTGATCAAATTTAGACGAAAGTTACTATTTATATAAAACAAGAGTATTTGAAAACCCAAAAAGTTGTCTCACCGCTCATTTGCATCCTGTTTTTCACGAGGTCCAAAGGTTGAACGCAAACAGAGGCACACATTCTGCAAATTCAAGTAGTGGAAACTGAGACTCAAACTGATACTGATGATATTCATTTTAATGATAAATAATCAAAATCTATGGTACAAGATCAAGGTTGGTACAGTAAGTCATTGTCAGCAAAGAACAAGGGTGGGTGATGGTCATATAGCGCAACAACAAGCTGAGGTTGAAATTATGAGGAAGATGAAATATACTATATTTACAAGGTACATATTTGGAATTAATAAAAGAACTGAACGTGAAAATAACAACTGGATGAACTATTGCAACCCAGATGTGAATGTGATTAACAAGTCGGGATCAATGCATTTTATTTATCACACTTTACCATCTAAATGCATCTTATAAACAATAGCTTAAACAATAAGTGTTGTAACTCATCCCAGTACAAGTTATAAATGAATGTTGAGTTTTAAAATATATTCTCATAAAGCCAATGAGACTAAGTTCATGCGTGTTCAAATACCATATTTTGAGTGTATTAGATACTTAAAAATTAACGATATTACTTGGTTATCAGACAGGAAGTTGCAAAACCCATTTGAACCTATGACCTTATAATCAATAATCCAGTACAAAAACTAATGATCATGAACGTGAATCCAATATGACAGAAACATTTGCAAATTAAAACACAAAAATAACAAGGCTACACATTTCAACTACTGTTTATAACTGGAGAACTATACACATTCCTAAGCTAAAGCCAATAATATATAGACTATGTTAGGTATAGAAATTTCGAATGCGGTAAAGGAGGAAGATTTCGTAAAATGATTCATATGGACATAAAAAATTCCACTACATTACTACGTCATCCCAATCCAGTGCATAGTCAAGGTAATGCAGATAATTCATTGAGTTGCGATGCAGTTCACGAAGATAGGCATAAATTTGGTCATTGTTTGTCCTGTGGCAGGCTTCACTCATTTAATTCATGTATATTTCATAATTTTAAATGCTTTACATGTGGTGAGATTGGACACATTCAGTCAGTTTATCATATTACGGTTCATTCCGCTACAACTAATGCTTAAATTTGTAATTGTGATCCCATTAAGTTGGGTGTTTCTAACGATCATATATCTTTATCCACGACTTCGAAAAGCGGTATAGAGTCACATAGCATACCAGAGTTAAATGAAACTCAGAATCCTTGTGAAGCAACAGTTTTTAATCAATCAATTTATCAAATTTTTCATTTTATTGTACCAAATATGGTTTTTCCTAATAAATCATATATTTCTGATGAAATTTCTTACAAACTTGAGAAAAATATGTTGAGTGAAGCTAATCATGACCAAAAACCTGATGTAGTTTTGATAGATGGTGATTTTTCTAATGATCCTTTGCTCTGCAATGACATACGTATTAAATTCGAGGAAACTATTTCAGAAGAGTCAAATCTTGATGTCATATCAAATATTACTTGTCCTCATAATGCATTTGTTTCTTAAGGGAAACTTGTTCAGTGTGAAGCACGAGTATTAAATGAGCTTGATTTTGATTACAATTCAGATGATTCCATATTAACTGTTGTTTATCCTCATCACGAAGTCACTTCTCATGTTTGCTCGTCAGTGTAAGAAATATGTTTTAAATGAAGCCATATAATTCATAACCGACACAGTGATTGTATACAATTCCAAAAACCAAGTAAGTCTTCTGATTTCGGCTGTTAATTCTAATACTAATGAATACATTCAAGATAGTGCGGAGTCTTTATTCAGTACACTGTCGGACAGACACAGGATCAACTTAAAAAGAAGACGTACAATCGATGACAGACAATTAGACTCCAATTTAAGCTGTGGCGGATATGGTGTTTGTATGAACTAACGATTCCTTTGTACTTGTTGAATGCTTAATTTCGAATTCCAAATACAGTACATTCGTTCATGGTTATATAGTACTTCTTGATCCAATTGCACTATTTCTGGGATTCTTAGTTTGTACTATAATTCAAATACTTCTAATTATCACAACTTAAAACAGAATCACTTCACAAGATAAATGTTTAGGACCATAACAAAAAATCGAAACCATTGCAGGTCACAACAATGAGACAGAAAATATGGAGATAAAATGTATATAGAAAATAACTTATAAGTTTGTATATGATCAAATGATAGAGTAACATAAAAGTATTCACATTTAACATACCCAGAAGTCCCACCCAATACAAACTTCATAGTAGCAGGTATCTCGGCCTTTTTTTCGGTCTGCATTGTTGAAAAATATGACTAGGTACTTTCTTTGAATGAATATATGAATATGGAATCAGTACAATTCACCGTGAACAGCTGATACTAAAAAGAAAATCACAGATGATTGAGAAAACACTGAATACAAAAGTAAAAACCTAAATAATTATCTCGCTAACTAATATCTACAACATCTGGTACAATTCGGTATCAAATATATAATGTGCCATACGATTTAAGAGATAAGATTGTGAAGAAACATAGAACAGTAGTGAAGCCAGAAGAAAACAAGAATAACATATAATGTAAAATCAAATCTAATTAAAAACACAACCGACTTTTTATCAGAGTAGTTCCTCTGAAGCTTATGAGGAATGTAAGCGAAAAATAGAGCAGGATCACTATCGGCTCTCGATCCGAGATAAGTCTAATAACACTTAAAGCCTCTGAGTTGCATGATCTCTAGGATCCCAACCAAGAAGTCGTGACAGATTAACAGATGGCAGTATTATACAGCTTTTACTCTACAATGTCGTCATAATACATCCAAACCAGTGACAGCAGCGTTTGGCAGTGATGGCACTAAGTAGACAATTGTCTCTTTACTGAAACTTATCATCACTAGCATTGACTTGAGAGGGAACTAAGCAAAACAACTGAATATTTTTCTCAGAATTAATCATCCACTTCACTACACAGACATGTATAAGGTTACAAAAGTATAATTTATGGATCATGGACCTCACTATCCACAAAAAAGAAGCTCAATCTGATGAAAACTATTTACATATTACCGCTGATCACAATGAATTTGTAGTACAGATAGGGTAAGCTTAGGGTAAGTCTTAGGAGCTTCGGAGAAACAATAAAAGCTGAAATAAACTAGAACTGACCAATAATGTGTAGATCTCACGCCCCGAAAACCAGTTAAATACTCCTGAGACGGTTTGTGACACAGGATGGTGCGCACCACGTAATTGACTAAAAATGATGAAATGTCGCAGTAAAAACTGTACGTATGTATTCCCGCATGGCTTTTCCGTGATATTTGTAGAAATTTAAGAGTATTGCGTCAAAACCAGTTTGCAAGTACTGTAATAACATTATGGTGGAATTTGGGGGGAAAGCGCAAAAATTAGAGTATATTTCGGGGAAAAACGCAAAATATCCCTGAAATTGTGAAAAGTTTTGGGGTTTAATTATTTAACATAAGCCGATTTCCCCAGTTATAAGATTCTGGGGAAATTTTGGGGTTTTAGTGTTATTTCCCGAAAATTTTCCAAAATTTTACTCGTTGGCTTCCCTAAAATGGGTCAAATTTTCTTCGAAATTGGAAGATAGTGTGGGGTTTCTTTACTTTAGAAAAAAACAGATGAAGTTATACATCAAATATTAATCAACAGTTCAATGACCAGAAAAACTCAGTCATTAACTAGGCACTGATTTTTGAGTAGATCAGTTCTAAATAAGTTTAATCAAGGGCAAGAAATTATCATTTTAGTTTTTCGCATTAAATGCAACAACCCCTTCGTTTGGCAATCTGATGACTACTAGGACTAGATGACGATTACAATCCGGTGTGGTGAATTATAATTGTGATTTGCAGTTGACAGTTACGGTTAGAAAGTAGATGTAGGGTTTAACCACGAACTGACAGCTAAAACGGATGAACGAATTTAGCGCCAAAATTCAAGGCGTATTATCGTATGTCTGATTGGTTCGTCATTAAATCGGTCTCACCGCCTCAATCAAGTTACGAAGATGATGACATCGTAATGATGCATGATATAGGAAGAATATCCAGTGTTATTATGCCGTCGCGTCGATTTACTAGTTTGGACAATTTTAGATCTGCCCGAAAGATGTACTTATGATAATAGAACTTCCGTGATTGATAATTGCCTTTTTTAAATCACCACAACAACCTAGGTAAAGTATGTGACGTCAGGCATCCATTCATGCTTCATTTCAAATGAATTTACCCTTTACGTCAAAATATTGCTAATGCAAATCCAGATTTCGGGTCCGTGAAGTAAATGGTGAGCTGAAGTCCACCTCCATTAACACGTGCACAACCATCCTTGCACAGGAATATTTCACAGCGCGTCCAGTCAAACATAAAAGTAGAAATTTTCGAGGAAAATCTATCCATAACTATGATTTGCTTCAGTCACAGCGCGTAAATAGCTATCAACCACACGCTTCCAGAGGTGGTAGGTGTTGACTCGACTCACCGGACCGAAAACGTTGAATAAGCGATTAATGATAACGACTTTGTCTTGAAGCTCACCACTGTCCCAGCTAATCGTTACTGGGCAAGGGCAAACCGTTTTGTATACTCTTTTTAAGCAAGAACGACGTGAATACTTCGTACACCTACGTCAATAATTCAGACATGGTGCATGGTACTTCTGAAACACACACTTTAGTTATGGACTCGGCGGCAACTGAAATTTCTGCAGTATGGTCTACCCACAGTTATGCGGAAATAACATACATTTTTCAGGAATGTTAGTGTTAACCATCCAAATTATTTTATATAGTTCACAAACGTTGATGTTCACAAATGCTTGGAACATCTTGTAAAACCAGGCGATCTTATATGTAGGCCTTGCTCCTCATAATGAATAATATTCTGAGTCACTCAAAAGTACGAGTGCCTGAGAACTCATTCGCCATGGCCGCTTGATTACATAGATCACTAGATGGACCGGAAGTCAATGTGGGCTTGCTGTTATCAGCGACATTTATTAGGCTTGGACAGTCACGTAAACAGCCGTGTAGAACGTGCTCATAAAACACTTCAAGAGATATCTCTTCTGTTAACATTCAGCAAGATCTGAAGTAAGGAAGATACGGACCGACGTTTGACACAACTGAAAGAATCTTCAGCGTTTCCTAAAGCTTGATGTAAGAAACTTAGTTCAAAGTATAATCGATATAATATTCCAAGATCAGTCCAAACTTTGTTAAATGAGCTCACAGCTTTCGCACCTGAAATTGTAGTTGTACATTATAAACAAGTTAGGAAGATGAGACACAAGTTAATAGCAGTAGAATACGCACGCTGCCATAACAAAGGCCTGACGGAGGATTTTTGTACTTTGCATGCACGATATGCTTGTGAAAGTTTCGGTTACCATATGCGGCCTTGTGGTTATATTTTATATGCATATTCCAAAGATCTAATTTGTGAAGGTATGTGTTTCTTAATCATTATAATCATAATTGATATTTTTCAACATCGCAATACTTGGAAATGAAACAGTAGTTACTTTTCATCATTATTAGGCTAATTTCGCCGAGCATTTGTTTCCGTATACACGAACAAGATTGTGTAATTGACATCAATTGGCCTTATTATTCGGACTCACGACTTTCATCGAAGATCGGAATCTTTATCTATTTTTTGATCTTAGTGGTTTGCTATTCGCCAAATAGCAGCTCTTTCCTCATCTTCACATCGGCTGGTATGTTCATGTGATGAGTTTGAAATAGTCCTCCTTCACTTGAAAAATTAATAAGACTCAGATATTTATTACATATACATATGATTATTAACGCAGATAAAGTATATATACTAACTGTTTGAATCTGATACATTTGTTCATCAGACGAGTGAGTGATCGTAAGTTATTCAAGAGATACTCATATTACCAAAAAGTACTCGAATGCATGTAAAATTATTACATTACACTGGTAACTATTTACAACATTATGAATTTAAAATTTTTATTGAGTGAGCGGCCGCTAGATATCCAGTCACATTTTATGCGAATATTGCACTTGTTTTAGCTTGGTTAATGAAGGGAATCAACCGCACGAAACTCCCAGGAATCTGCTAAAAATTCAAATAAACTGTTAGTTAAAAAATACAATGAACATATACATGAAAGCAGATAAATGTATATTAGTGTGCACATTTCTCGTTTTTTCGGCTGATCCTTGCTTTGTGATTCCTTGTATTATAGAGAAGGCGGTGTTAATAATTCTGATACTTGACTGTGAAATCTCGAAAATTCCAACGGTAAAGAAGCTAACCTGATTTGATCATTATTATTTCAAACAACTGTGACTTGTCTTTGATCATCAATACCATTATATATGTAGGGCCAGTGAAGTGTCACTGGACTCTAGCCAAATCATCCGACATTCGGGTTACTGAATGCCAAACAGTTCACAGATCCTCGTAAAGGTCAAGAACAACCAACGCGCATCAGTTGATTGCACGCCACGGACCAGCCCATGAAACTATGGTTGTATTTTTCCGTGTACATATCACTATTAATATACCTCCATAATAACGTCGTTTGTGTTATAGAGCCATCAAAGCAGCCGTAATACCAGGATACGACGAAAGGGCAATCCACATTACGTACTAACATCGAGTTGTGACTTCAACACTAGCTGGTTCGTCACACCATCTCTGACCACTCCCCAATCATTCGACAGATATCATCTATGCTACTGATCAACACGGGCTTGATTGAACAGTTTCCGACCGTCAATTTCAATGCAATTAGTGATTCTAATTTAAAAGTCATACATCATAGTGGGTTTCCTAAATCTCAGTTTATAACAGTACTTATTCCTGCTACTGGCCATCTTTCTAAAAATATCAGTAACCTAAAAACTGAATTTTCATATGGAAAATAGTAACGATGAGATGTTTTCTCAGTCCCTGAAGAAAACTACTCACCGTCGTAGCTTTTGCACATAAGCCTGATTTACTTCCTGGAATATAACGTTTTGGTGGCTAATATATCCAACCAGAGAAGGCAAAATTTACAACTCAGTAGTAGTTACTGCCGGACGAAGCAAATATATGGCCTTTAAGAACCTAATATGGATTTGTAGTGGCATTGGACAATAGCCACACAATCCACAAAGCTGTGAACACGAGACTACTCAGAAAATAGATATTCAATATTTAACTCGGGGAAATACCTAACAATGGAGAAGGCGCGGAGAATGAATTGAATGGACTGGGTTTGATCGGATGGCATGGCTCGTCCATGCAGGCGTGGTCCATCTCAATGTTACTTTATATCTTCTATTCATATTAAATATATTGTTCTTTCTCTAGCCTAACCTTGTTCTACATCATGTATTGGTAATTGATACGATACAGTGAGTTGGTGTAGTCGATGGTGTGACTTCCACGTAAGATCTTATAGATTAGGCAGTTATATCATGACAAATCTACAAATTTAGGATTAGGTCTATTATTAGAGCAGTACTAATATCATAGTAGACCATAATTCTACATTGGTGAGCCCAACTAAAACGCAGCCTGTCATTATTAATCCTTATTTCCACTTTAACTTTCTCGATCGATTTTATATTTATGTTAACCCTGTATTCTAATATTCCTCTGATTAATGCTCACATGCATCATTGTAATGTTATATTGATTAGTCCTCGTGACAAACTAGCTCAATTGATAACTGGTCGTCTATATTAACTAATTAGCTTTGGATGGTTTGTTAACAAGCTGTAATAGCATTTACATGCTTCAGCGACAGTCTTGTTTAAACATCAAGCTCTAGCAAATATGACCTATAAATAGCGTAAATATACATTGACTAACAATGCGATCAAGGACTAAATAGTTATCTGGATCTAATTCTCAGTGTTCCTTCACTTAACACCTCATCCTGTTTTAAACGATGCACTATCCTGTAATATCTTTTCTTCCGACCACTGCCTGCCTAATTTCATATTCTCGAGTTCCATTGCCAAACAACGAGGATGACTACTCCAAAAACATACGGTGAGTTTCAGCTATAAGTTTTCTGCAATCATTTTTAGATGGTTCGTTCAATGACAACCATACAATTATCTGGATTCATTCGATTGTTCTGATCCGAGCGAGTGTCAAAAACCTCAACAGCATCAAGCACCCAGCAATTAATTGCCATACTGCATGTTTTATTCTGGATGCTTTTGAATCAATACTACTCACGAATGGCGTTATATATGTCGTCCACTGAATAATCTAATTTTCAAAAATAATCCAGGCGAGTTCAACTATTTTACTTAATGATTATTTGTACTTAACATGTATATGTTTTCCAGTTGCTTTTGCCATATATTTGTAAGTGTCCCTAGGCTAAATGAAGTAACTTCTTATGGAATGTTTATAACGCATCATATTCCTGCCTGAAGTTTCACAAGCAGTCTTAACTTGAAAATTGTTTATCTGGTCATGTTCATTATTTTCAAATTGTCATATACGTCAACAACTTGCATGTTAATCTGGCCCGTACATACGTTGCACTAAATCTTCATGTCTTCTAAATTTAGAAATCACCTGAGTCGCCTTTAACATTTATCGATAAATCCATCATAGTCGTTGTTGCTAATCGTATTTGGGTTTATGGATTGGTTTATCATATTAGCAGCCTAAAATGCGAACATAGTTTAGATAATAAGATTAAAAATTTAGGTACTATCAACTGCACTAGTAAAATAACTAAATCCTCAGGTAGCTGTTGGCTAAACAAACGTTTAAAATCAAAACTCCGTAGCCTACTAGAATTAACACTAAACGAATATTTCTGAATTGAAATTTATAATTAAATTAGGCGTCTCAGATTCTTTAACGTGATAAATTTCTGATGATTTCGAATCACCTAAAGCAACAATACCTATTTTCCCACTGACTAATCCTCAATCAACACT